ACAAAATAGATTAAAGCTTAGTCTGGCAAATCGGAACAAAAAATAATATATTTAAGATTCGATCATCGATTCTAAAAGCATTGTTCAACTTTTCTTGCAAAATGTTTCTGCTGTGTAAGTCTCTGTGATTGAGTCCCTGAGAATAAATTGATACAAGATCCATAGCTATACAATACAATATATTCAATTTATCTTTCTATTCTGATTTTGATACTTGTACAAGATTTTGTCATAAAGAATTTTTTGGAGCAATCTGTATAACAATAATATAATCACTACGATCATTTCTTGATACTCCATAACAGTTCAAGAATGAAGAATTTTCGTAACCAATTTTTACAGTAATTTTTTAATTTATGGATAAGTACTTATCATTTTTGTTTGAATCATGAATCACTTTAAGTGCAGTATCCCGCCACGAATTATTAATTATAGTTAATTTCTGTGCAAAAGAATTTGATAAACCAATATATTATTAAGCATTTTTCTTGAATCCATAATTTCGGAAAATTGCAATATCATAAAAATTAACCTTTAATGATATTGCAGTTTATGCATTAACATTCACACAAATGTGGAATTTTACATATGAAGAAGCCATGCAAATTTCATAAAAATTATTAGATTACTATAATAATGATCCACCTTTTAATTTAACAACCTTAGAACCATGAACTTATTGGAAACAGATCTCTTATCAAGCTAGTGCATTAAAGATATTAGCATTAAAGATATTAGCATTAAAGATATTTGCAATTCATCCTCATTCTGCTGAAGTAGAATGACTCTTTTCACGTATGAGTATGACAAAAACCAAAATTCAAAATCAATTAAGTACTTCAACATTAAAAATGATTTCACAAATTAAACTTGCATTATCTGCAGATGTTTCTAAAAAAAGCTTAGATAAAAAATTAGTAACTAGAAATGAACAAGATAACGATAATTTGGATGATTATAATACTTTATTTTCTTTGGATTTAATAGATTTAATTAATGACAAAGATAATGAGTTAGAGTTTAATAACATTCAAGAAATTTACTTAGAATCCATGCAAAATAATTCAGAATTATTTATGGAAGAGTTTATTAATTTTGATATAATTGACGAATTGGTTTTAACATCAGACAACGTAAAAGAAAATTTAGGTAAAGCTAAAAATACAACTAATTGGACTTTAGAGGATATTCTTAAAAAAAATTAGTAAATAAATCTATTTATATTGTATTTCGAATAGAATTTAAAACCTATTCAAATAGATTCTGATATACTTAGTTATTTAAATTTTCTTTAAAAATTTTATTCGAAAATCTCTGTTATACTTTCTTATTTCCTGTAAGTATCCGTGAATTAGCAATAAAATCGAAAATATTTCAATTAAACTTAAGTAAAAAACTAATTTAGGAAAGAATAAATTCTAACAAACTTATTATGGGTGCACCGTTAGGTGCACCATGCACCAAATCATCCAAAAAAATATTTTTGATGCACCATAAAAATTATATGCGCACCACCCACTCTAACTTCTTTACATACAACTGCTACGTATACTTATTATTCAATAATGATAATAAAGGTTAAATAAGAGTAAACGCAAATAGTGATGGAAAATGTTTTAAAGCACAATCTTAAAATCTTGATTATTTGATTTAAATCTTTCAAAAAATGGTTTAATAAACCGATCATGTAATTAAATGTATAATAAAATTCAATATATATATATATGTATATACATAATAAAAATTGTACAAAACAAAACAATGAATCATGTTTGTGGAAGGTCTTTACTGAAATTTGAAAAATTAAGTAGTAGGCGTATTGCTAATGTATAGTAAATATATAGTAATAATAAAATAATT